AAGAAAAATCTACTGTTAACCACCTGGCAGAGATTCCAGGAGAAAAACTTACCAGAATGTCGTAGCCAACTTTAAAAAATCCCAGGTTAAGGAGAAAATATTGCAAGCAACAAGAAAAAAAGAAAACAATTTAAATACTGCAGAAATACACTCAGGATTTCACAAGACCTAGCAGCTTTTGAAGAACATTGTATTTTGAAGAGCAAAAGAGTTGTGTCCAAGAATAACTTACCAAACAATGTCGAGTATAATCCTGAATGAAAAAAAAATGGACATTTGACAAACTGAAATTCTTTTAGGTATTTGTAACAAAAACTTGGGAGCAGCTAAATGGCACAGTGGATAGAGCACCGGCCCTGGAATGAGGTGGACCTGAGTTCAAATTTGGCCTCAGACATATAACACTTACTAGCTGTGTGACTCAGGGCAAGTCACTTAACCCCAATTATCTCACAGAAAAACAAACAAACAAACAAACAAAAAACTTCAATGGAAAATTTGATATAAAAGATCCAGAAGGAATATGAGGAAAACATTAAAGATCAATTATAAGGCACTCATTAAGGTCAAACTATTTATTTATTATATATATGAAAATGTTATCAGTATTCTTAAAACTGTCATCATTACTAAAGTAGTTTGAAAGAAAGGTTGGAGCTGAGCTGTGTATAATGGAGTGAATCTAAAAAACAAAATTAGGAAAAGGTAAAAGGGAGCAATTATATTATAAAAATGAGGTGTGAAATAACTAAAACAGAGGAAGCAGGTGGAAATAGAGGGCTGATAACATTGGAAACTTACTCTAATCTGGGATTGAAGAGGAAACATGTATATCTGGAAGGGTGTAAAATTCTTCTGAACATGTACAGAGGTGAGAAAATTGGAGGACAGAGTTGGGGAGGGACTTTTAGAGGGGTGTGTGGATTGAGATGTAGGAGGATGGGGAGGACTTTTGGAGGGGTGGATGAAGTGGGGGGTGATAGTGTCAGGGGAGAATAGAAGCTAACAGATACAGAAAATAATGAGTAAAGATAAGATGGAGGGAAACTCACAAATAGTAATTATAACTTTGAATGTGAATGTGATGCTTATAGCAGCTCTCTTTGTGGTGGCAAAGAACTGGAAAATTCAGGGATCAATTGGGGAATAGCTAAACAAGTTGTGGTGTATGTTTGTGATGGAATACTACCATGCTATAAGAAACGATGAGCTCAATGATTTTAGAAAGGCATGGAAAAACTTGCACAAAATGATGAAGAGTGAAGTGTTGCCAGCATTTCCAAAACTATATCAAATAATAGTGGAAAGAGTGGGCATCCTTGTATCATGTAGGTCACTGTGTAGCTTAATAATCATACTTTCTAGAGATGAAAGGGACATTATAGATCACTTAACCTAACTTCTTGATTTTATGGATGAGGAAAGTAAAGGCTGGAGAAAGTAGCCCAAGCTTTCATAATTAGGTGCAGACCCACATTTTTAACCCATGGCCTTGGATCAGGGCTTACAATGTGTTATATTTCTATGGAAGTCTGAGGGACCCTGAGGGCAAGCACAGGAGAAACTGAGTCTTCGAGACAGGAAAGCAGGACTGCTTAGTCACAAGTTTGAGACTATGGTGAAGCTAAGAAGTTAGGAGAAAGGATGAGATTATTCATGCAAACTTGCAACTCACAGGGAGAGGCTGTTGGTCTTCAATTCATCTGAGTCCATATGGCTGACCCAACTTTCTTCCCCATTAGGGTGCAATTTAGGGGAGAGGGGAAGAGGGTGGGAGGAAGAAAGGAAGGGGAGAGAAAGACAGAGAAGGAGGGAGAGAGAGAGAGAGAGAGAGAGAGAGAGAGAGAGAGAGAGAGAGAGTGAAGGGAGGGGAGGAAGGAAGAGGAGAACAGCTAGTGGCAGCAAGTAATGGTAATATTACCGCTGCTATTTCATTGGCCTCTGAGATACTAACTACTGGGCCTGAGACCAGCCAGAACTGAGGTCAGGATCTGGCATGCGGATGGAGGTTGTGGGCCAAGCTCTATGGGGCATATTGCTGTTGGAGCATGTTCCAGAGTGCTGGGGGTGGACTGCTGTCATAGAGTTAAGAGGAACAGTTAGTTGTGGGAGAAAGAGGGAGGCATGTCTTTCTCTTATGCTCTTTTACCTTTTGAGTTAAATGCTGGCAGCCCAGGTGTGCAACTTCTCCTCTTTTTTTCATATCTCCAGGAACAGGAGTGGTAAAAGATGTTGGGAAAAGGTTGGGCCTGGTAGTTCTTTTACTTCATTTATTTATTTATTCATTTATTCATTCATTCATTCATTCATTTATTTGCTAGGCAATGGGGTTAAGTGACTTGCCCAGGGTCACACAGATAGTAAGCGTTATGTGTCTGAGGCCGGATTTGAACTCAGGTCCTCCTGAATCCAGTGCTGGTGCTCTATCCACTGCACCATCTAGCTGCCCCTAGTTCTTTTACTTTAAAAAATTTACTTTGCTGTGTTTGAATAAAACATATGACTTAAAAATGTCAAAATTTGAGTCTTATGAAGTCAATGAGAACGGAAGATGTCCTAAATGTTGGGTTGGGGCAAGAGCCATTGACATTTCTCTAATTTTAACATTTCAGGGCAACTCACCATTTTCTTATTCCGTCTCCATAGACCAACATTTAACTGGGGCTGCATTACTAGGAGTAGAATAAGTCTAAGAGTTGATAGACTGAGAGACTTTTGATTAGCAGTAGAAATATTGAGGCCTTTGGGAAAACCTGAATATCTGCTCTGAATATCTGGTTAAAACCTTTGGGTAGTGGCTAGAGGCTAGTGCCACCTGGTGGCCAAGTTATTTACTCCATTCCTTTCCTAGTTCATTAACCAATTAATTGACAGCCTGCTTTTCTGTAGGTTGCCGAGAGCAGAGAAATGAACCATGTGTAGGATTCTATGGCAAATGTAACACTGGTGTGCACTGAACCCACACCAACTATCCCATTTTTTGGCTCAGTGGGAAGGAGGAAGAGAAGAAGCTTTTATACAGTGTCTGCTATGTTCCAGGTGCTGTGCTGGTTTTTTTTTTTTTTAACAAATATTATCTCATTTGATCCTTACAACAACTCTCTGCAAGATAGGTGCTGTTATTATCTGCATTTTACAGATGAGGAAACTGAGGCAGCCAGGTGGATTGACTTGATCATGGTCACACAACTAGTAAGTGTCTGAGGCCACATTTGAGCTCAGGTCTTCCTGACTGTGGGTGGAGTGCTCTATCTACTGGCCCAGCTAGCTACCAATCCACATTGCGAATAAATCAGTAATTAGAAGAAAGAAATGAGCAACCAACAGTCCGGGAGAAAGAAGTGCCCCCTACAGGCCCACCGAAAGCCACCTGCCTTCAGGTGTCATTCTTTCTTGTCATGCTCTCTCTTACTCTTGAGTCTCTCTTGGGAGAGGGCCACAGACACAGCTGCCAGGGTCCCCTCAGCGGGTTCCCCCACTGAAGCTCTGAAGAGCCCTGAGGGGGAGGCATAAGGGCCAAGAAATGAGGTTGAGGCACAGCATTGCCAGAGCTAGCTCAGTGTTTGGGAGGCTCCAAAGGAAAGTATGGGGGAGAAGAGGTAGTAAACTGACTATCAAACTGAAGGTCTACAGAGCCGTTTTGCTGACCTCATTGTTGTATGCCTATGAAACCTGGACAGCATATCAGTGCCATGCCAGGGAAATGAATTGCTTCCATTTGAACTGTCTTAGGAAGATGCTGAAGATCAACTGGCAGGTAAGATACCAGACACTGAGGTCCTTTCTCCCTCTCTCTCTCTTTTTTAAAGGCAATTGGGTTAAGTGACTTGCCCAGGGTCACACAGCTAGTAAGTGTCAAACGTTTGGTCTGAGGCTGCATTTGAACTCAGGTCCTCCTGACTTCAGGGTTGGTGCTCTATCCACTGTGCCACCTAGCTGCCCCAACTGAAGTCCTTTCTCTAACTAAACTGCCAACCATTCAAACTCTGCTTCAGAGAGGGCAACTCCAGTGGCCTGGCCATGCTGTTCTGTTAGTTTTGTTGTTGATATGGTCAATTATACTGATAGTTTTCCTAATATTGAACCAGCCCTGCATTCCTGGTATAAATCCTACCTGGTCATAGTGTATTATCCTCGAGATAAGTTGTAATCTCTTTGCTAATATTTTATTTAAAATTTTTGCATCTATATTCATTAGGGAAATTGGTCCATAATTTTCTTTCTCTATTTTGGCTCTGGCCACATTGTTTAAATGTAAAACATGTGCTTGCCAAAAAGACTTTTTCATGGAGAGCTAACACAAGACCAGAGTTCATGTGGTGGCCAGAAGAAGCAATACAAGGACACTCTCAAGGTCTCTCTCTTTTTTTCTTTTCTTCTTCTTTTTCTTTTTTTTTTTTGTGAGCCAATTGGAGTTAAGTGACTTGCCTAGAGTCACACAGCTAGTAAGTGTGGCTGGATTTGAACTTAGGTCCTCCTGACTCCAGGCTGCCCTCAAGGTCTCTCTTAAGAACTTTGGAATTGATTGTGTGACATGGGAGACACTGGCACAGGACTGCCCTGCATGGCATGCCCTCATCAGAGAAGGTGCTGTGCTCTATGAGCAAAGTAGAATTGAAGGAGCTCAAAAGAAATGCAAGACGTGCAAATTTAGAGAATCCACCCCAAAGGTTCACGTGGACTATTTGTACCTGACCTGTGGTAGAGCATTCTGAGCACATATTCGTCTGATCAGCCACAGTCAGAAGCACTGTAACTTGACTTTAGCATAATGATGTCATTTTGGTCCTCTTCGAAAATGAAAGACAGCAACAAATCAGTAAATAAATGAACGAAGAATAAGCCTAGAATCATAGAATGTTAGCGTTGGAAGGGACCTTAAAGATGACCTGGCCCACCTCCCTCCTGTTGCTACTAAGGAAATTGAGGCAGAGAGAAAGGTAGCAAATTGCCGAAGGTCACATGTAGATCATCATAAATGGCAGGAAATGGGACATGACATAGACCTTTATTAGAAATTCTCCCTTTCTTGCTTCCCCTTCCTCGCCCCCCCCCCAGCTCCCAAGGCCCTGCTTAGGGCCCTGCCTTTGATCCCACGCTCATAGACTCATCATGGGAGGTACCACGGCTGTGTAAAGAGGGTGGAGAGGGAACCTCATGAGGTCCACCTGGAGTTGGAGACTTGGTATTGGAAATTGCGGAGGCAGATAAGGGGGCATTTGGGCCACCAGACAGCATCTTGGGCCTTGCAGTGTTTTCTGAAGATCCTGGGGGTGTGGGTAAGGCTGGAGATGTGGGTGACGCTGGGGGTGTGGGTGAGGAGGTGGTCAAGGATGAAGAGGTGGGCATGAGTAAGTAAGGTGTGAGCAAGGATGAGAATGAAGTTGAGCTGATTGCATGCAGTGGTGGCTCCCAAAGTGGGGGCCCATCAGGGCCCCGTTGAAGCCAGCCATGCATTTTGGCCAGTTCCCTGGTGTCTTCATGCTCCTGCCGTAACTGCCTTCGCTGGTCTAGCAGCTCCTGCCTGGTATCATGTAGCAGCTTTGTCCGGAGTAGGAGCTCCAGGAGCTCCTGCCGGAGACGCCTATTCTCAGCCTTGATAGACTGAATATGCATGAGGAGGGAGTGAGTGGCTTCACGCTCTGCCCTGCGGACCAACAACTGCACCTGTTGCCGGGCCTCACGCTCACATGTGGCTTTGTCCTCCAGGAAGCGTCCTTTCACACGGTGCAGCAGTTGGGTGTGTTCTACCCGCATGTGCAACAACTCTCTTTCTAGGGTCTTGATCCTGGCCAGCTGCTCCAGCTGTAGCTCCTGGGAGGGTCCAGAGGACCATAGGATCAGCCCCAAGGTGTTGACATGGACAGTCCCCTTTGTGCAATCCCTTAGGTTCTATATATCCCATGTCCAGACCTTTGAGCCAGCATCTCTGAGGTTCCAGAGACAGGTAAGCATATGGGGCTAAGAGCAACTAGGCAGGTTGAGCCTGCAGCCCCTTGCCTTTATGAGCCTTCTCTGAAGGCACTGCTGAGTCCTCCTTATCTGATCCCTCGTCTGTGTCTTCTCCCTTTTCCTCAGCCCTGTGTGCGACCTGCATCTGTACCCCTGCTCACCCATGGGTCACTGACCTTGAAGGGTTGTAGCAGTTCCACCTGGTATGCCATTTTGGCCGAGCGGGCCTCCATCTCTGTGAGCTGGGAGCGCACGACACCCTCGCGACCCTGGTATAGAGCAGTGAGCTCTTCTTGTTGGAAGTGCACCTGGGCCAGGTCTGCCCGGTTCTGGGCATCCAGTGTGATGATGAAGTTGGCACAACGCTGGGCCCGTGAGGACACGTAAGATGCATATTGCCGGTTCTCCTCACGTAGCTGGGCAGCCTCCTGGTCCAGGAAGTCATTCTCCCATAGCACGCTCTGCACATATTTCTCATAGGTGTCCAGCTGCTCAGTCAATGCTGCAAACTCCTGCTGTAGAAACTGGTAGCGATCCGACAGCACCACCTTCTCCGTGCCATCTGTGCCTGTGCCCCCTGTACCCCATGTGCCTCCCGTGCCCCCTGTACCCCGGCGGCCTGAGCCCCCACTCTTCTTCTTTGAGGCCATGGGGTGGGGCCTGTGGGGATATGTGGGACCTCAGGAGCACTGCCCAGGTCATTATGCCCACTCCCTGTTGCCCTGGGTTCATCATATCTATCCTTCCAGGATCATCCTACCAATTACTCTGTGTTCTCGGGGTCATCCCACCCATTCCTTTATCCTTCTGAGGTTGTCACCCACTCCCTTATCCTCCAAGGTCCCACCATCTAGTCTCCTGTCATCCCAAGATCATTCTTCCCTCTCCCTGCCATCCATCTTCTCCACCCCCACCCCCACCCCAGTCCTCCAGGATCAACTCTTTCATTCCCCTGTGCCTGGTAGGAATAAGAGAGAAGGGGTAGGGACTCAACAGGAGGAAAAGGCAGACAGACATTGAGGGGTCAAGGGCTGCTGACCTGTTCTTTCCTGGTCTGGCTAGAGCCTGACTGAGTTCATGGGGTCACCTCATCTCTAGCTCTTCACTGCCTTGAAGATCCCTTCCTGTGGATGTTGACAGCCAGGTCCTTTAGAAGGGTGTGGAGTTCTGTTGCTATAGAGAAGGGCAAAGGAACTCTAAGACTCTCTAAACATCACTATTACTATTGCGTCAGCCTGGACCTTGGCTTCATTCACCCACCCCACAAATCTCTGGCTACGCGCTGATCACGTGAAGGGAGCAGCCCTGTGTACTTTTGCATGTGGATGCCTATGGGGTGTTGGTACCCTATGTGTATATATCTGTGAAGAGACTCTCAGTGAGGTTTGGCAGCACTGAAATAGAAGAATCAAGGTTTGGGTCCCTGAAGAGTCTCCTTGGTTGTTAAATGCCTTTGGAGACTTTTTATTTGGGGGATGGGAGGGAAGGGTCACAGCAGTGGTGATTTGGAGTCTGTGTTCACACAGGCCACATGCCAGTATAGATTCTCATCACCTCTCATCTGGTCTATTGTAATCATTTCTTACATGATGTTTCTGGCTCAAATGTCTCCTTATTCCAACTTTCACATAGCTGAAGTGATTTTCCTGTTATGTCCTGTCTCTACTCAATAAATTCCAGTGGTTCCCTATTACCTCCAGAATCAAATATGAATTGAGCATTGAGTGCCTTTTTACTCTTCTTTGTTTTTTTTGGAAAACTCGAGACTTGAAACAAACCTAAGCTTTTAAGTGATTACCTCCTACCCACCTCAGGTTCTGGGGTAGAGGTAGAGAGAGCCAGGCACTTTGAGGAAAAAGGACCTGCCCTATGTCTTCAGAATTTAGGCTCCTTCAGGACTGATCCCAATCATTCATGAAGGGTGTAGAGCTCAGAGGGTCTACTTAGATGGTGGTGGGGAAGGTGGTGGAGCCAAGGTGGCAGAGAAAAGGCATGGACTCACCTGAGCTCTCCCAAATTCCCCTCCAAACGACTTTAAAATGAATTCTGGAGTGGCAGAACCTACAAAAGGACAAGGTGAAACAATTTTCCAGCCCAGGATAACTTAGAAGTTTGGCAAGAAATGTCTGTTGAGCTGGGATGAGAGTGAAGCACAGTCTAATGCAGGCAACTCCTAACAAACCAGTGGTAGGCGGGGGGGGGGGGGCGGGGCGGGGCGGGAATGAATAGGCAGCAGTGGCTTCTGGAGCTCTCAGTCTGCAAATGATAAGGTGGCTGGACAATTGGTCAGAAGGATGTTACAGAGGTCCCTTTGCTGACACTGGATGCAAGAGTCTGTTGCATTGCCCATACAGGGATCTGGGTCACAGTCTTGGGTCACAGTCTCAGGGCAAGGAGGACTACTAGTACATGAGAGTTTGCCGCTGCAGGGTAATGAGAACCCTGGTCACAGTTCCATGCAAAACCCAACTTTAATATAAAGTTAAAAGTCAAGAAATAGGCTGGAAAAGTGAGCAAATAACAACAACAACAAAGAAGGGAACCTGATCCTAGAAAATTGCTATGGTGACAGAGATCAAAATATAAACTCAGAAGACTACAAAGTCAAAACTGCTACATCCAGAGCTTCAAAGAAAAATGTGAATTGGTCTTAGGCCCAACAAGAATTCCTGAAAGAGCTCAAAAAAGGATTTTAAAAATCAAGAGAGGTAGAGGAGAAATTGAAAAAAGAAATGAGAGTGACACAAGAAAATCTTGAAAAAGATCCAACAGCTTGGTAAAAAAAGGCACAAAAAATGCTGAAGAAAATAACACCTTAAAAAACAGAATAGCTCAAATAGAAAAAGAGGCACAAAAATCCAATGAAGAGAAGAACTCCTTAAAAAGCACAATTGGTTAAATGGAAAAAGACAAAAATTCACTGAAGAGAACTCCTTAAAAAGCAGTACTGGCCACATGGAAAAAGGTGCACAAAAATTCACTAAAAAAAAAAAAAGAATTCCTTAAGAAGAAGAATTGGTCGGGTAGAAAAGGAGCTTCAAAAAGTCACTGAAGAAAATAATTCCTTAAAAATTAGAATTGGGCAAATGGAAGCTAATGACTCCATGAGATTTTAAGAAACAGTAAAACAAAGTTAAAAGAATGAAAACAATAGAAGAAAATGTTAAATATCTCATAAAATTTTTCTTTGACCTCATCACTGTTCATCACGGTGGGAACATAGCCACCGATGATGGTAGTGTGCCACTTCCTGCAAGTGACAACAATCATATTATTGTGAGCCTTGTGAGCCTGTCATTCACTCCTTTTGGGAGGCATACAAGCTTGTTAATTAGACTGGATTTGATTGAGAAAGCTATGCCAGCTTCCCAGTGCTCCTCATGATGATGATGACTCCAGAAAGATGTGTATCCTGGTCCAACTTTTGTCAGCTAGTCTTCATTTGCCAGCCTTGTTTCCCTCAGGGCTACTGTTTGACACAATACCTGCTGAGTTACTTTGCAAAAAGCGCTGTTTGTATTTCAGGTCGACTGGATTTTGTGTGGTCTATGTGTGCACATATTCCATATAGTAATGGTGAGTTTTTCTGAGAGCATCCTGTTTGTTGTTTCTTATAGCACAATTGTAGTATTCCATCACAATCATATACCACAACTTGTTCAGCCATTTCCCCATTTATGGGCATCTCCTTAATTTCCAATTCTTTGCCACTACAGAAAGAGCTGCTAAAATATTTTTTGTACCTATAGGTCCCTTTCCCTTTCTGTTTTGGAAAATAGATTGAGAAGAGATAATTTAAGAATTACTGAACTATCTGAAAGACATGCTTACTTCTTCCAAGAAATTATTAAGAAAAACTGCCCTGATATCCTAGAACCAGAAGGTAAAGTAGAAATTGAAAGAGTCCACTGATCACCTCCTGAAAGAGATCTCCAAATGAAAACTCCCAGGAATATTACCCAGCAAAATTAAGTGTAATCTCTTATCCATAAATCTGGTAATACTGATAACATAGGTAATATGTTCCATGCTCCTCTAATTTACTTATGATATCTTCTTTCTGTCTAGGTCATGTATCCATTTTGACCTTATCTTGGTGTAAGATGTTGGTCTATATCACATTTCTGCCAGATTGCTTTCCAGTTTTACCCAAAATTTTTACCAAATAGCCCATAATAGGTGCTTAATAAATGTTTATTGACTGACTGATTAAATTGTCTTTGGGGATTCTTTCAACTTTGAACTTATCAGATTCTCAGAAAGCCAGTTATTTGTCTCCTTTTCTCCTCAGAAGAATAGGAAGTAGGGCTGGAGCCAAGATGGTGGAATAGGGCCTGGAATTCACCTGAACTCTCCCAACAACTGTGTAATAACACCTCAGGTCAAATTCTGGAGCTGCAGAGCCAACAAAAGGTCAGGGTGAAGCAATACCAGACAACTTAGGAGGTTGACAGAAAAAGATGATCACACTGGAGTGGTGATCAGGCCTGGACCATGGCAATGCCAGCAGTAGACCTTAAGGTCAGCTACAACAGTGGCAGCAGAAGCTTTGAGATCTCTAAGTCCACAGATGGTAAGGGGTTGGATAATTGGTTAGAAAGAGATTACAAGAGACTTTTTGCTGGCACTGGGTTCAGGACCCTGTTGCATTGCCCATAAGCAGTTCTGGGCCACAGGTCCGGGGGGAAGAGGAACACTGGGACTTGTGACTTCAGAGGAGTAGGAGGACTGGTCACAGTTCTAGGGTGGAGAAAAGTGCTTGTGGTCATTCACAAGGGAGTAGGGGCCCTGCTCTCAATTCCAAGTGCTAGTGCTTGTGGCTGCAGGAGAGCAGGGGACCTAGTCACAGTTTCATGGCTAAAAGGAGCACAAGCACTTGTGGCTATAGAGAAACAATGTCCCTTCCTAGATAAAGACCAGAGCACATGCCAGGAGAGCAGTGATCACACCTCTCCTTAGATCATACTACCTTAGAAGAATCAAAAACCTACAGACCTCCAGAACTAATTCTGAAAATAGCAGCATAAGAAACGTGATGCTTAGGACAATGCCCCCTCCACCCTAGAAGCAGAGTCCGATGTTAACATGAAGTTAAAAGTCAAGAAATAGGCTGCAAAATGAGCAAATAACAAAAGAAGAGCCTGATCATAAAAAGCTACTACAGTGACTGGAAGATCAAGACACAAACTCAGAAAAAGACAAAGATGTCAAAACAGCGTTGAAGTAGGTCCTTACAGAAAAATGTGAATTGGACACAAGCCAAACAAGAATTCCCAGAAGAGCTCAAAATGGATTTTAGAAATCAAATAAGAGAGGTAGAGGACAAATTGGGAAAAGAAATGAGAGTGATGTAAGAAAATTATGAAAAGAGCGTCAACAGTTTGGTAAAGAAGACACAAAAATACTGAAGAAAAGAAGACCTTAAAAACAGAATTGGCCAAATGGTCAAAACAAGGCACAAAAATCTATTGAAGAGAAGAACTTAAAAATCAGAATTGTTAAATGGAAAAAGCTCAATGAAGAAAATAATTCCTTAAAAACTGGAACTGGGTGAGTGGAAGGTAATGACTTCACAAAACATCAAGCAACAATAAAATAAAATCAAAAGAATGAAAAATAGAAGAAAATTTGAAATATTTCAATGGAAAAACAATTGAGATAGAAAATAGATTGAGGAGAAATAATTTAAGAATTGTTAGACCTGAAAGCCATGATCAAAAAAAAAAAAAGAGCTCACATATCTTTCAAGAAATTATCAAGGAAAACTGCCCTGGTATCCTAGAATCTGGGGGTAAAATAGAAATTGAAAGAGTCCACTGATCACCTCTGAAAAAGGCTCCAAAATGAAAAATCTCAGTAATGTTATAGTCAAATTCCAGAGCACCCAGGTCAAGGAGAAAACATTGCAAGCACCCAGAAAGAAACAATTCAAGTACTATGAAGCCACAGTCAGGATCACACAAGATTTAATAGCTTTCACATAGAAGGATATGAGGGCTTGGAATATGATATTCTGAAGGGCAAAGGAGCTAGGTTTACAACCAAGAATCACAACCCAGCAAAACTGAGCATAATACTTCAAAAGGGAAAATGCATATTTAATGAAATAGAGGACTTTCAAACATTCCTAATGAAAAGCTGAATTGAAAATTTGACTTTCAAATACAAGACTCAAGAGATACATAAAAAGGTAAACAGGAAAGAGTAATTATAAGGGATTCAATAAGGCTAAACTGTTTACATTCCTACATGGCAAGATAATACTGTAACTCCTAAGGACTTCATCTTTATTAGGGCAGTTAGAAGGCATATACATAG